ATGATAGGTCATACTTATGTGAAAACTTTGTGTCAATAATGAAGGATATATCTAATAAGATCTTATCGATAGATTTAGATAGTGGTAGGATAAAGAAATGGGCCTACTGATATAGATTAACTGCTAGATAAATATTTATGACCACTTTTCTAAAGAAAGGCACTTCTTTAGTATAGATCCCTTTCGAAGTTATATTCGTCCTATATGATGGCAAACCTGTCGCTTTCTATACTTTATACGAAAGAGTGTTGACTTATGATCTGCTATCAATTATGGCTCGAAAGGTATTGCTTTCCTAGTACTCTTCTCCCAATCATATGATCACCCTTGGTAAGACGCTAATCTAGGTTGGTAACGGTTGTAAGGTTATATGTTGAAGTAGGATTCGAATTGGTTCTTCCTTCTTATAAACCATAGCCAACGTCGGCATATCGAACGGATCCTCTTGATAGTCTTTTAAATCGACTTTCTAAATGGTCGAGAAAGCGTGTGAGTTACCACTTTCCACCTCTTCTATCGTCGTTTTTGGTAGGATCCTTGTTTCTACCACTTTATCTTTTACGTCTTCTACCAGCTGGAAGAACCTTGTCGTCAATTGTATACTTAAAAGTAGGAGATCGGCACCTAATATCTTGATGGTGGCTGTAAGCAATTCGCTTGAAAGCCTTTCTATAAGTTATTCTCACGTTTGTGGTATCGACACAATTTTCGTTCTTTATGCTTTGCTTCCTACTTTTTCTCAGCCAATTCCCTTCCTCAACCCTTCCTCAATATTCTCCGTTGATTTCACATCCCTATCAAATATTATGGTTGTCGTAGGGTCATTCTTTCCTACCTTAGTTAGAAGGTTAAAACTAACATAGCTAAGGCTAACACTAGGGCCAAATCCAGAAGGACCGCCATAATCTTCCGAAAAATTTTCCTCCGTCCCTTCTAGATTCGGTTGTAGCCTTATTTTCCCTAATTCGCTTTTATTTTGATTTTTATTATTATCTGGAGGCTAATCAACCTTCATCTTGTCCCTTCCTACTGTATTAGCTGTTGTATCATCAATTTCGACGATTTATGGTGATGTATCATGTTTAGTCTTATGCTTCTTGACGATTTAAGCGAACGATAAAAGCGGTATTTGTTTATCCTCAAGAGTAAACAAATCAATTATTGGGAAAGAAGACGTAGAATCGTATCGATTGTGCCTCATCTATATAAAGCCTTGGATCGCTGGGTCTATGGTGGAGGAAGGTCTGCTATCATAGTCGACAACAAATTATACTTTCGTGTCAATACGCATGGCTTGTTCGATTTCTTCTACCCTCACTCATTGTAGGATAGTCGGTATATTCCTCTCTGATCCTTGATCAGTTTGTTAAGTAACGACACTCCCACCCTAAAGGATGATTTTGGCCTTCTAGTTTGACGGTGGTTTCTTGATAGGTTATATTTCCTTGTCAATCGCATCATCGGACACCGTCAGATATTTCATACTAATATATACGTTTGATGGATTGTCTTCTTTGATCATCTATCGTAAGGCAGCGGCGCTAGGCAGGGACATATATCAGGTAAGCCAGAAATATATAATATTCCTTATCTTTCCTTCTTTTCTCTACCGCTTCGTCAGTGTCTTGAGAATATTTAGGGTATTTCTAACATCTATAAGCCTTCTAGAAAAGAACAATTATATATCACTATCGTAGTGATAGACTCTATAAAGCCGATCATCATGATATTCATCGCAATTGTTCATTCGCTCTCCTGGTTTCCTACAGTAGAAGCACTTTACTTTACCTATTAGACGCTATTGTTGGCTGTACCTGCCTTGCCTATATTAGGCTCCTCTATAAAAGGAATCATATATCTATTGAGATAGATCAATCTGTCTAGGCGGTATATGGTAGGTAGACATAGTAGTATAAGGATGTAGCAAAGGATAATAAGCTATTTTATGATAGTTTGAAGCTGTGTTGATCATTTGCCTACCATCCTTCACATTGATTACTTTAGTCTTTAAAGCTTTAATTTCCTAACGTTAGATTTTTAATATAGTCATCATATCGGCTAATTCGAAGGTTGTAGTGGTTCCTATAGGTGGTGGTGTTTGTACTCGTAATTGAGCCTTAACGAAGTATAGAACTTACGGCTGTAGATAATCATTATATCATTCACTCAAAGAGGCTCTCAAAGTGCCAATTATGGTAGGAGGATAACTAAAAGGAGTGGTAGTCGTGCAGGACTATAGATATGGTAAGGTATACCTTCCTAAAGTAGCCGCCATCCTTCTAATATTATCCTCTAGGATTTTCCAAAGTATCTAACGGATCTAATCATATAACATATCTTGTACTTTATTAAGGGAAATATTCAGTTTATTCTGAATTCTTAACTGATAGTCGAAAGGAAGAATCGTAAAGAATTGGTATATATATTGCTTATCTGTTTTTAGGATATTATTGTAGGTAAGTAGATTTTCGAATTTAAAGACACTATTGCTTAGACTGCTTAGATCATTAGGTAAGGGCTTTTGAAGAAAGGTGATTAAGTCTATAGTATAATTATGTATTATCTCCTTGTCGAAGGTCTGGAAACGTCTATACAGTTCCTCTTTCATATAAGTAAGACGATTCCTAGCCTCCTTCCTTATAGCCAATTTGGCGATCTATTCTACAATCAATTTTGCTTCCCTAGTATAATACAAGTGTATCTATCGGACCTATCGGTCTTTAGAAGGCTTATAGTCTTCAGCTATATCTTCCTAGTGGCAAAGGAATTTGATAATATTCTGACCATTAAACCGAGAAGCTTCTATAGCATCAGGCTTAGGCATTTGACGGAATTTCAAACTATACTTTCCCTTAATATCATGATCAGACCTATCGTCATCCCAAAGACCTATAGTAGGGTCCGGTGCCAATGACATATCGTCTAGAGGGTCCGACAGTTGGGAGCCTTCGAGTGGTGTCAGCACCACCGGTGTAGATGACGATGTGGAAGGCTTAGGATCTAATCTAGATTAATTCTGTCGGTACCTTATGAAGACAATCGACGAAAAGCTTCGATAATCAGGCAAACGAGACTGATTCCTGTTCGGTTTGTTGAATAAAGCTTACAAATTTGAAGATATATCGTTAGATTCAGACCATCTTCTTTTCTTCGATGATGATATATTATATATATATGTTTTATCACTTATTGTCGGGAATCGATTCAATCTTCAGCTTTTCTAGTATTCTTAATACTGATTAAGGGTATTATCGATTCCTATCCTATTCTTTCTTTTCTGATTAGTAGAATTCTTCTTATCTCTTTGTCGGGTAGGATACCTATTAAGGGCCAGCGTTGGTGCTATCCTTAATAAAACATTCTTTAAATCATTTTTACTTGCGTTAGTAGGTTTAGGCCCTACTAGTCGTCGAGGTATATAGCGGTGGCTATAGCTTGTTTATTTGTATGGTAAAGCTCTATCTATCGAAGTAGTAGGGTATCATAGTGGTTTTGCTTGATGTTTCAATATACCGTCTTAGCATCACCTTAAGTCTAATAAGGTCTTTAAAGTCTTTAGAGTCTAACAAGGTCTTTCAAAGTCTATCAAAGTCTAGGTCATAGTCGTTATAATCGTTGTTTCTTGTTTCGTTATAGTTAGCCTTATGATCAGACCCTAAAGTATCGACAGTGAGGATAATAGCTACTATTACTACTTGATTATCGTCGGTGATCGGCAAAGAATGTTGTCTATTCTTTAAGAAGCGGTGACAAAATAGGTTTACTTACTTCTCACTCGAATATCCTTAGGCAATTCCCTAATAAGAGCAGCCAATCGCTTTATTCTGTGATCAGTAGAAGCCGGCGGTCGGGATGGTCTTAGGATAATCTTTGTCAGAGTCTCCACAGTCTTTTCCTTATACAAATCGTTAAGGCTTAGCCTTAACATTTTCTCTTATATTGGTAAATGCCATTAGATTATCTAATATATTCAATTCGTTAGTAAAGCTTCTTTTTCAGAGTCTTAACGGATTGGAATTAGTAGTTTTAGGGCTTTAAGTGGCAGTTCTATCAGGATTCTATAACCCTCTGCTTAGTATCCTCTTAAGCGGAATTACATATATAGAGGTTAGAATCAGGGGACCATATACATAGGCCATTTCGGTTTTCCAGGTTTTAGACCATTCCCATCGGTGAGAATAAAGCCTGATCAGTCCTTAAAAGGCGTCAATTCTCGAGAAATCTTATCATAGTCGAGTCGATGAAGTGAAGTGACAGTGTATATAGGTTGTGGAGGCATATCTAGCTACCTCCTAGCTATCTTTCCGAAAAATGTAGATATTCATTAAAATCAAAGTTCTGATAACTGATTAAGGTCTGATCAGTCCCTAGATTGCTTTGAAAGTTTAATCTTTCGTTATAGTTTATCTTAATGATAGTCGTGTTTTCGGCTTGATGAAGGTATATTTTCGAGTTTTTCGACTATATTCTAAAGTCGACTCTAAACGTCAGACTCTTTTATTCCTTAAGTCTTTTGAATAATTCGACTTTGATCAGTAGCCAATTGTCTTTGTTTTGTTTATTTTCCTTTCTGGTCGATCTCTGGGAGGTCACGATTCTATGTATATAGACATTGTGTTCGGAGTGCTTATATGGTCGTTAGGCGTAGGTTGCTACCCTTTCGGATGCATAGAATCGCTATTCCTATCGATTATCAGGTCTTGACGTCGTTGGCCGTGTCTCTGGAGATTGTCGTTCGTAAGGTATCGATGGATACCTATAGTAATGCTGCTTGCACCGTGGTCG